TAGATATATACCCAAGAGAAGGAAAAGAGAGTTCCCCAGATAAACTTGTCCATAAGTGCTCATGGCAGCAGTGTTAATAACCAAAAGATAGAAACAACCCAAATACCCATCCCCGGATGGCTGGAGAGAGAATGTTCAAGCTGAACAGTGGAATACATTCAGCAATACAAAGGAACAAAATTCTGATACATCCTACAACACGGATGAATGTTACTAAATGAAAGAAGTTACTCACAGAAGACCACATATTATCTGATTTCATTTGTGTGAAATGTCCAGAGTGGACAAATCTATGGAGGTGGAAAGAAGATTTGAGCAGAGCAGGAGGAGTCTGGGAGTGTTACTATATGGCTAGGGGTTTCCTTTTTGAACTTCTAAAATTGATTGTGGGATTGACTGCAGAACTGTGAACATGAGGGCCAGAGATATAGCTCAGTGGCACAAGAGCCTGCCTGGCAATTGCAAGGTCCTGAGTTCGATTCCCAGTACAAAAAAAAAAAAAAAAAAAAAAAACTGTGAACATATTTACCAAGAATTTAAATGGGTGGGTTGTATCGTACATAAATTACAAAAACAACAAAGCTGTTTCAACAGTACCAACGACTAATCAGGATATTCCAAGCAGAGGGCACTGCAGGGACAGAAAGATTTGGGCTATCTAGCTCAGTGGTGTGCGGTGCAGGGCTCAGGAGAGAAATGTGGAGTATCTGAAAGGATGCCCGCCGAGGTAGGCTAGGGCCATGCACATTGTTTTTAATCCTTAAAGAGAACACTATGGGATGGCTGCAGGCTATAGATCCATGAGGCCAAAAAAATAGTGGGTGGGACACAGAGACTGGGCTAATTTTCCATAACAAGGCAAGTGGAGTATCAGGAAATACTGAGGAGAAAGAATCTATAGGAAGGGCATCGCTCGCTCGGAGGCAGTAACTTGACCTGACCCTAGATTCAGCAGCAGGCTCTTTTTGGCCTCCGCGAATAGAGGATAGAACAATTCTCCCCTTACAGAGCCCAATCAATTATTCATATTTTCAAGTCCTCAAACGTTCACTTTAGGAGTACACTCTCGACATTGATCTGTGAACCAGATTCAAGATCCTTCCGACTGCTGGCATTGCTCGTGTGTGGCACGGGGCCAGCCCTTTCTAAGCCTGAATTCCACCCATCTAAAAATATAAAATGCTAACACCTGGATGTAATGCCCTCGCTTCAGAAGCTAAGAGAGTGAAAGTTTCCCTAAGGTAAACTAGGAAAAAGAAATGACAGAGTCAGTGTGGAAACTGAGTAGCTAAGCAGCATTTAAAAGTCACACAGAAACCTTTACACAAACAAAGACGTTTTAAAAAATTCTTACCCTAACAAGAAAATGTGAAAAAAAGGGGGGCTTAAGCCAAAACAAGTGGTTCTCTATAGAGTAACTCCTAGGATGGAAAATTATTTAACAGTGGAATGAATAACCCCAGCCAGTTGGGCGAATCTTGCTCCAGTCATATAGCAGATTTTCATTTCTTTGGGAAGGCTTGGTGTGGCCCCTTCCACCAGGAGCAGAGCCAGCAGCCCATGGGCAGGACAGCAAGAACTTTCCTGAAGGAGCGGCCAGGCCTCTTCAGCCTTTCCTGCCCCGTCATTGCATTCCAGAGAGCAGCTCCCTCTGCTCTGAGCATCTCTTTGAGCACAGGACTCTGGCTACCTCTTTGTGAAAACAGAACCCAACTCCCTGTGCCCAGTAAATGTCCTTATGAGACCTACCTTCCACGTTGGAGACAAAGCCCAGGCTCCGCTTAAGGTCTGAGCAAATGGAGTGGAGGCACCATCGGAATTTCGCATCACAGCGGTATTTGTTGGCCCCACACGTGTCATAGCAGACGTCCAGCTGGTTGCAGCACTTGGTCATTGCTGGAATGCCCAAGTCCATCTGCAAAAGGGAAGGAGAGAAGGAAAAGGAGGAAAATGCCACGTTTACAGCAAGAAAGACCTCAGGCAGCTCTGCCCATCTTGGCACGAACTAGCCAGTCCTCAGATGCCTGTTACATGTTTGCTTCAATTCAGAAACGCCGGTGGCTTGGTAAGATTAAGTGAGTCACAGGGATCTAAGTTCTTACTGTTATCTAGTTGCTAGTTTAGTAAGTTACTCATTTTGCAACAGTGATGGGAAACAGAGACCAGGAGGGAGGTCAGGAGGGCAGGGCTGCAGGACTACAGACTCAATTAAAACTTAGGTTCATATTTCCCTCTGAGATTTTGCTTGAGAAAACAATTCCAAGGCTAAAAGGAATTTTAAAAATTCAGCTTCAGTTGAGCAAGAGATCACTGGAAAGTCTCAGGGACTCATCCCCTCATACAGCACTATGTGAAAGGTGTCGCCGTGTACGTCAGGAGGCAGAAAGGGGTGCAGAACACACAGTTCCCGACCACAAGGGGATCATGGCCAAACCACACCACACACACACACACACACACACACACGCCTACAAACAACTGTAAATGTGGCAAAAAACTGAGTAACTAAGAGAGTGCTACACGCCAACTTGTGAGACAGGATTTTAAAAGAAGCCTTTGAAAGAAGAGTAATAGAGGATTATGAGAGGTGAGGACAGACTTAGGATACAGCAGATAGAGAAAGGAAATGAGCAGATCATGTGAGCGTTGGTTTAGTGTCTCGAAGTTTTTAGTAGGAGATATCTATGCATGGGTAGGTGTGTGTGCATGTGTGTATACATAAAAAGCTTTGAGAGCCAGGCGTGGTGGCACATGCCTGTAATCCCAGCACTCGGGAGGCTGAGGCAGGAGGATCATTGTGAGTTAGAGACCAGCTTGGGCTACAATGTGAGCTCAAGGCCAGCCTGAACTGCATAGTGAGACCCTGTCTCAAAAAGAAAAAAAAAAAGAAAAAAAAACAACTTTGAAATGGGGTATAGCTCTGTGGTAGAGCACTTTCCCAGCATGCACGGGTTGGATCCCCAGCACCACAAAACAAAACAAAACTTTTCAAATTGGGGAGAAAGGCGAAGTGATTGCCTTGACCTCCCAGTAAGTAGTTAGGTTCGATAAGGCACCTGGGGCAAGGTAGAGATGTAAGAGCTGAGATGGAAGCAGAGTAGTCCTTGTGTGGCCCGGAGAACAGAGTGGAGCAGGGAGCGTGTAAGTCTACGAAGCCTCTTAGGGTGTTCTGCGGCTTTTCTGATAACAGACTTGGACTTGGGTAGAAGCTGTGTGAATGTGGCTTGATGCTATAGGGAGGAGTAGTTGTAGACCCTTTCCATCTAGGGGTCTTCAAGTATTCTCTTATTTGAACTTTTATTCTAAGGACACCAAAAGCAGAATAAGGACTCTGGTGGTTTAAAATGCCCCTTTAAGAAAAATAAATATA